ATGTCACTAACATGATTCTAGCATGTTTTAGCATGATTAGCCTGTTACTAGCATATTGCTGGTATGATTAGCAAGTAACTAGCTTGTTGTTAGTATGATTAGCAAGTGACTAGCATGTTGCTAGCATGATTAACAAATAACTAGCATGTTGCTAGCATCATTAACAAGTGACTAGCATGTTTTAGCATGATTAGCCTGTTACTACCATTTTGCTGGCATGATTAGCATGTTACTAGCATGATTAGCAAGTGACTAGCATGTTGCTAGCATGATTAACAAATAACTAGCATGTTGTTAGCATCATTAACAAGTGACTAGCATGTTTCTAGCATGATTAGCAAGATACTAGCATGTTGCTAGCATGATTAGTATGTTACTAGCAATTTTGCTAGCATGATTAGTATGATACTAGCATGTTGCTAGCATGATTAGCAAGTAACTAGATAACTACATAAATTCTTCTGGTCACACGTTAGATTAGAGTCCAATTCTCACTATTAACTAACTATTAACTATTAACTAACTGTACATTTGCCCATATATCCAAGTTTGCGCGGAAAGTGGAGCCTAAAGCGCGCTTTGCAGGACACGGAGGCGTCAGCGCGATCACTTGCATTATTTTTCAGTGGGAACAACTTAAAATAGCCTGCGCCGTCATTTGTGCTCACAAAGGTAAGCGTAATACATCCTTCGTAACTGTAAAGGGTCTACTTGTATTTGTGTGCACTCACAATATCAACAAAACCTTGTGCTTTTGTAAAATAAAGAAAACAAACATGATGCGCTTTCTGCCGTCTCGGTCTTGAACAGGAGCGCTTCGCAAAAACTGAACCGAAACTCAGCGAATACGTGCCTCACAGACATGATAAATATATCTAAATACTATCTATATACTAAAAACACATCTGTTCCACCTTTATTTGACCCTCTAACTCTAGCACTCTCTATTCTATTTTAATTCTACTTTATCTATATTTATCTTCTTTTTTTTATAAAAAAAACAAAACAAAAAAAAACACTAGCTTCCTATTTTTTCTATTCTATCTACTTGTTTTTCTGTGTGTGTGTGTGTGTGTGTGTGTGTATATGTATATGTGTATAATATATACATACAGTATATATATTATACACACACCTTGCTACGTGTACTGCGTTAGGCTAACCGAGACTTGTCATTTGCACTTATATATTGTTGCTCTTTTGTTAGTTTTGACTGCTTTTATTGTCCTCATCTGTAAGTCGCTTTGGATAAAAGCATCTGCTAAATGACTAAATGTAAATATCTATAGAAAGCTTTAAAGGGGTCATATGATGCGATTTAAATGTTTCCTTTCTCTTTGAAGTGTTACAAGCTCTTGGTGCATAAAGAAGATCTGTAAAGTTGCAAAGACTAAAGTCTCAAAACCAAAGA